AATAATATTGCTGTACATATTTGTATAGTAGGGAGATTTTTTCAAATTATATAAATATACGTTATTTGAATATTGAATTAATACACGTTTGAGGAAAGGGTGCGATAGTAGACTCCAGTTATAAGATTATAAATTAAATTTCCAAGAGAAAGTCGGTTCTTTACATATTTTCTAATTACCTTCGAAAATATATTAACTCAAAAAAAATAAACAATGCTTCATAGATCGATTTTTTTTTAAATCTAACTTCATAAAGTTCTTTAAAAATATTTTTTAAATGAGGCCATAAGAGCTTAGGGGGAGAGTTACAACACAAAAATACATTTAAGGCGCAGCGAAGCACGCCGGGAAATTGCTAGTAGGATTATAAATTAAATTTTCAAGAGAAAGTCGGTTCTTTACATATTTTCTAATTACCCGCAGTAACGTCGCTCATACACATCTCTTTTGCCTTTGTGAGCTCGTGTTTGATCGGCACTGATGTACAGTTTTTTCGCGTAGCTATGCGCTGTATTTGGCAACCAAATAGGCTTATGCTTGTACGGCTTTGTAATTTTTTGTAACTTTACACCCAAAAAAAGGGTGCTTATCTTCCAAGAATAAAAAATATAAGTATGCCACTCTGCGTCTTTTTACAAATGCTTCGTTTTAAAAAAAAAATATTAAAATCGGTTTAGTACTTTGAGAAACAAATCGTTACAAACGTACTCCATATAATCAATTTTATATAATAGTATAGATTTATGGTATTTTTGAATAGCAATAATGAGATCCGTGTTTAAATAGGCAAATAATTCTTTACATTTCATTTTAAAACCACGTTTAATTTGAAGTTCGCTTTCAAAAATTTTAATTAGAATTCAGTTTTTCTCTTTGCGCCAGGTAGCAAACTTTATACTTAAGAACCTCTCAGTTACTTCTTTTGAGTGTGGTATTGAAAAAAACCAAATTTAACATTTTTTCAAACCGTGGAAACGTACCACTATTTTAAGACTTCATCCATATTTCCTCGTGGCGTAAATTACTTTTTTCTACTGCGCACAGACTTTGAAAGGCAAATAA